CGCAGTGGTTTTTGTCTAACCTGAAGGAATGTTGGGTGCTGAATGAGAGTATGCAGAAACGTGAGCAAGTACAACTAGAAAGAAGAGAGAGAAAAAGTGAGCCAATGACTAAATAGGCACACCTGGTACACTTGAATTTAGGAATAAAAGCAAACGACTGATTATAAATAACCTATGAGAACGATCAGGACAATTCGATCGGCGAAATCAGGAGTTGGTGGTGTAGATCACCAACGTAGATTTCATTTCGCTGGCCCTACAGTGGCATACAGTTGTAGATGCATTATCTAGCCTTGCTGATGGAATTGCACTGTCGTCAGTGCTTGCTCTATATTGGCATGCCGTTGTTGAGACAACTGTGTCCAGCTGGTGAGTTAAATGAAGTTGGACGGTCGCGATGTGATGAACATCATTATGTACGACTTGTGAGTTACAGAGAATGAGGGTTGCTGTATAGTCCGTATGTCTGAATATGAGTAAGCAGAATCCCATCTCAACCAAATGTAGCACATACTAGAGTCGTTCACTGTAGTACAGAATGGATTTGAAACCCAACACAATCCTCAAGCAGTCAATACTTGGGAAGAGAGAATACGGAATTTCAGCCAATGGGTTATATTTTCAAATATCAAGTAACGTGGTAATGGGTTACAAAAGTAAAGTTTCCACAAAATACAGTTTTACATTTCGTTTCGTAGGTTTCATAGACATCTTGCTTCTTTTCCTCCAGCCCATCCGAACTTTGTTAGACTGAGAAAAAGCAGGTCTACGTTAACAACATATACATCATGGTATTAACGGTATCATTGGGCTTCGCGCTAAGTGCGCGGCCCAATAGCAAAAAAAAGTATCATTAAATACAAACATTTACATAAGAGCGAAATCAAGTTAATCTGATAGTGAAAATGTTCATTGATTGATTGAGGTTTTGAATGCGTTACACATAGGCAAACTAAAAGTAGCTCCTTTGAAATAAACCAATAGAGGAGAGGCTGTGTACATAGTGTAGGGCCAGTGGAATGTCACTGAGCCCTAGCCAAATCATCCGGCAGTTGGATCACTGAATGTCGAACAGATCATCGCTCCCTGCCAAGGTCATTTACAAGAAACGCGCATTAGTTAATCATACGCCATGGACTGGCCCATGCGGCAGTGGTCTTACTTTCGCTTGTATCGACTTTAACTAATATATTTCTGTAATAACGTCCTTTGTGTTGTACAGTCTTCAAAGCATCTATAGTACCTTGTTACGTCAATGGGGGTAGTCCACGTAAGGTGCTGACCACGAGGTGTGACTTCGACGTTAGTTGGTTCGTCACACTATTCACGTCTAACTCGAGTAGGCCTCCAATCATTTCGACATAGATCATCAACGTTGGTGATCTACACTGGTGAGCAAGACTTCGAGTAACGTAACCTATCACTATAATCTTTATTATTGTATTCTATACTTATTCTTTTTCATTTGTATCATCGCCTATGTTAATCTATCACTGTGAACTTTCGTTGCTTCATGTCAATGTTGATTAGTATTTAAACTTAAATACTTAGTTCAATCGACAGAACTAACCAATCAACTACGATTATAATCGGCTATCGTGGTTCTTTAACAAGCATTAGCAGCATGTAAATGCTCCTGTGTAATATGTCTGTTAAAATATCAACCACTCGTGATTATAGCCACAAGGCAACACGAACGCACATCTGTTTGTAACTTATTCACTGGTATAAATAAGACAAGATTAACTATCGACTATAAATTCATCTTTCTGCTTAACCACTATCCACTAGAATGTTTTGCCTTTTTTTACCACTGCCTGCCTAATTTCCAATTGCTGAGTTCCATGGCCAAACAGAGGATACGAATGCTAGAAATTTACGGTGAGTTTGAACTATAAATTTCCTGCGATCTTAGATCTCATTTAGACTGTTCGTCAGTCTACAACGCTGTGTTAATCGAAAAATTTAATCAACAGTACCTCGTACATAATCCAGATTCAAACTACTGCCTACTTCATTACTTAAAGGCAAGATTAACCCAGGCGAGTTTCATAATTTCATTAGATTATTTCGTACTATATTTATGATGCGTGATAACATTTCGTAGTTGCTTTCACGTAAACTAGTCATATACTCTGTCACTGCCGTCAAGTTTTAGTCGAAATCATGTACATTTATGACTCGTTAGTCGATATACTGTGGTAAAACATATTGCATGTACACGAGCACGCTTAGTCCATGTCCCAAGTACACACGTTGTCGTACTTAATATGTCACTTAACGCTAGGTAATAAGCTCTTTGTATCAGCCTTTTACGAAATGGCCACGTTACCTGGACCCTCTAAACCTTAGTTACATTGGTGGTTACCATTTTAATTAATGTTTATTATACCCCTTGTATTTGCTATTAATTCACACGGTAAATCATGGCTCGATTTCTTTATTACACGACAGTCATTTTAATTCTATTTTCGGTTTATTTACATGCGATACGGGTTTGGAAAATATCTAAACGTCCTCGAAAATTCTCCACGAACCCAACCGTAGTTTTCGTATATGCTTTTATTCACACATCCAACAATTACGCTAATAATACCTAAACGAACGTTCAGTGCAACTGTCAGTATACGTAAGAACGATGTTATTTAGACTTGACATTGTAACACATCTGAACTATTGTAGTTGTTCTACTTCGATGTCGTACTTCATTTTATGAAGTATTGTTTCCTCGTGGCTGTTATTTAACAGATGATTCCGGCACATCAATCGGCTGTTCAACTACTCGACGATTTACAACCTGTCCAGTTCAATTGGTGGTCTGACGACAATATCATTCGCGCGAATCATCAGTTTATGCAGTCGAGCGAATCTCCTGCAAACTGAAAACGATATTGTCGCCTCTATCCCAACACTGACAGCGTTTTTCACGGGTATCATTGACATGAGTCCAGAGTGACACTCTTGGTTTCTTATGTTCTTTTCGATATTTTTCTGTTCACTAACCGAACAAACACGCAGCATTCACCGTTTATCATCTTTTAGAGACTTCATCGTGCCACCTTTGCTGTCGATTTGTAGCCTTCAACCCTTACTGACTGTAGCAGCAGTCATCGACTTTTCAAACTGTGACTACAAGTTGGTCAATAGATTCGCACAATGAAATCACGACCACTCTTCACGGTTATATTTCTGTACTTACGGTTAGTCTGTTAGATATAGATATAACTAGAATTTGACACTAATTAATAGCTGTCAACGACACTGTCCGACTTACAAATTTAAACTAATGACAGTACAAACAAGGACATCGATTAATAATACACTTATCCTACTATCGCTATAGCATCATTACTCTTGCGACAGACTTAACGTTTGTCATCGGAGGAACTGAATTGCTTGTCAAAGCTATATATTTCAGCGCGACTTGATAGAACAGTTAAACGCTTTGTTCTTTTCATTATTTCTATGATTAATCAATTTACGTTTAAGCAACGTCCTACTAACATATTATGACTCGCTGTTTCCCGACCAGTTTCTGCCGCCTCCTTTCCATTTGTTTTACAGATAAGCAATACCTGGAGAATTTATAATATTCGTTTGGCACTCTCCGGCGCGCGATTGCTCCCAACATGTTTGGTACCGATTCAAACGGCCGCTGAATCTGGTGGGGGAGTATTGTAGGGCCAGTGGAATGTCACTGAGCCCTAGCCAAATCATCCGGCAGTTGGATCACTGAATGTCGAACAGATCATCGCTCCCTGCCAAGGTCATTTACAAGAAACGCGCATTAGTTAATCATACGCCATGGACTGGCCCATGCGGCAGTGGTCTTACTTTCGCTTGTATCGACTTTAACTAATATATTTCTGTAATAACGTCCTTTGTGTTGTACAGTCTTCAAAGCATCTATAGTACCTTGTTACGTCAATGGGGGTAGTCCACGTAAGGTGCTGACCACGAGGTGTGACTTCGACGTTAGTTGGTTCGTCACACTATTCACGTCTAACTCGAGTAGGCCTCCAATCATTTCGACATAGATCATCAACGTTGGTGATCTACAATAGATATTAGCGGTAATTATGAGGATTTTAACTTGAGCAAGTTGAAAGGCATTCGTCTTGCTACTTTATTTCGCAAGTTTTTTTTAAAAGTAGCGGGATATTTCCAGGGAACAAATGCTCAAATGCACTATTTAAGATCTTGTAAATAGTTCAGTTGCTTGTAATATAATTTGAAGACTGAGTGACGTTACATTTTCCTCAGAATTTCTCCCAAATTTTCATTAGAACTTCTTCAAAGTTTGGAAAGTGGAGCCAATATAACCTTAAGGTTACTGTATCGACAAGTGATACTTGGTATTATTTTGCAATCATATATGATTTGTAATTATATATAATTACAAAGCAATTATAATATAACTACAATATGCACGTGAGTAAAAGTCTATAAGGTGTCCTCAGGTTTTTTGGCATTTGTAAAAGGCTTTGTGGCATTCATATGTTCTAAAATGTCTATAGGATTTGGGGAAACCGTATGAGCTCTGAGGAACTTGTTTACATTTTAAAGGAAGACTACAGATGAATAGTCTTTGCCATATCAAACCTTCTAGACTTCTTGAAATAGTTCCCGTGCAATTAGATGTAACTGACTGCATTGATTACCGAAAACATCTACAAACTACTTGCTAGTCCTATTAGTGTTTTCGTACTTTCTTATTACTGACATTCTTTACGTTACTTAAGATGATTATAAATGGTGTTATAATATCCACAAATCAAATTGCAGTTAACAAGCGAATTACTCTAGTAATAGCGCTCGGTTTTAAATTTTTATGGTTTTCAGTTATGCTTATACATAGCTGCATATCCATTCATCACCATTTACCACTTGAATGTTTTTGTTTTTCACCTGAATTTAAAGTCTAATAAATCTTATGTCAAGAAATTTAAGAGCTGCAACCAACTATTCACTTTTTACTGAGCGTCTTGCACCAGCGAATAATGAGCGAAACACAATTCCTGAATTCCGCTACTGAAACAGATTCTAACTTCAAATCTCCCCATTTAAGCACAAGTTGCTCCCATTTGCCCGTCAAATTCACCATCTATGAACCGGACCCAGAAGACTCAGATGATTCCCATCGCCTAGCTCAAGTATCTATATCGAATAATATGGTTGATACGAAAGCTATTGGCGACCTGTTCGACGATAATGAAGGTAAACGCTCGGTTATGTCAAGTGTCCTTGGACCTTATGTTCTCAAAAACACTCTAAGCAATTCATTCGCCTCCATACCTAATCACATAAGATCTGGAGAATATAAAGTAAGTAGAGCATTTTTCTTCAACATTTGAAATTGTGATTGTTTATGCTATTCATTGTAATGACACAAGCTTTGTAAATTTATAAACCAAGAGGTGTTATTTCTGCACGCCGTATAGTAATGAAAGTCATTGGATTTTTCGTTATCAGGTTTCAGTTTCGGACCCTGCTTCACTCGTTTTTAATGGGTAGTTCCGTTGAGTTTTATAAAATTATTATGGCTTGAAGACTTATACAAACCAATGGGCTGTATTAGTTCCATTTGTCCAGTATAATTTACGTAGATGATAGGATTAGTAGCGTTGGCAAGTGGCTGCATTAATTTGGAAACTCTAGAATGCAAATGATCAAATTCACTAAGATTATGTAGGGAAGTAAAATCCATGTTTTGCAATCCAGTTTACTTCATGAGAGGATATCCTGATATTTATTGTGCTGTTGCGAGTGTGTAGATAGTTTTCACCATAGTGTCAGCATACTATGTTTCTTTCCTTTCTAAACATTATTGGATTCCAGTATAAATTAAGAATGCATGCTGGAAAATTAACATAACCAGAAGGTAATTGCTTCACATTCTCTCTTTATTTTAGACATCATTTCATTTATTATGAATTGTATTTCTATTTAGAATTTTATGTAATTTAGGATATCACTCGTTTAATTTTCTAACGTTCGCCGTTACTAAGTGAAATAATTTTTTTTCACAAGAAACTGTCCACATCCAAGTTTTGCGTGCCCTGCTTTTTTTCATACTTTTAAGTTTCAATACATTCTAGCAGGTATGACCTAAACTGTGATTGAGTTCAGCCAATATGTTTATCATTTACATATAAAATATTACTTAACTTTGATACATCCCGACCGTTGTTGCTACCTTGACGTTTTGTCCGATGATTTGGTACATATTAATTCAAGCATCCCGAACATACATTTTGGTTGACAGCACTCAAAAATCCATGTTTTCTTGCTTCTTACACATTATCAGCAAACAGTTATCCGACGTATGATGTTCGTCTATATCTACAACTTCTGAATGATCAACTAAGTTTAAAAATATGTCGCAGAAGTCATCTACTTCTTTATGTCATTGTTACATAGTTTATTAGCGGCACATGACTAAGTCGTGTCTCATACTTCACCTCTGATGAGCAAGGTCTGGGTTTTTCCATGCAATTCATTATACGTTGCGTATAGATGTAGATTTTCAAGCTGTATTGGACTAATTGGGATAGTGATTAAACTACTTTAATGCTAAAAAACTCGAAGCTAAAGTTTACAATTTTTGTCATGATAACATATTGAGTTTCATTCAGGCATACTGCTCAGTCAGTTCAATTTACTACTAGTGTTACCATTAATATTCCAGTCTGACAGTAGTATACTTTACTTCGAACCAGCGGTTATGGGCTTTTAGGCGTGTTATGATTCCCCTTATTACGGCCGACCTACTCTTATTGCTTAGTACTCTTAAACACCACTTCACTCGACAAGTCCCCAAATCAGAACATGGTTGAACAGGAGCGTAGTTATATTCCAAATAACGAGGTTGAATGGGAGTAGAATCACAGTAAGTAAAACGTTAGTATATTTATGGTTTTTAACATGATAATATTTTAGAATCTTCTCCAAGTATAAGTATTGCATATCTCTGATTGGCTAAGAAGTGATGAGTTAGCGTTGTCGAACACAATCCTACACGGAATATGCTTGATTCCAATCTATATCTCGCTAACACGTAGCCGTTTTAAAAGCCTTAAAACCTTTCTGCTAATAGTCCCATTTATAGTAGCCTGTTTGTCAGCACGTAGAAACTACTTCCTGTAGATCAGGTATTCAGTTCGTTAAGTGGCATGCTGTCCTTCATTTTGATACCTGGTGCCTAACCTCAAGATTCGACGTTTTTCTTGGATAACTGGAAACTATAACATTTCTTTAACTCTGAGTTTGTTCGAATTCCGAGTTAAAATGCTGTAGATGGGAAGTGGGCATAAATCAACTGGCGGAATTATCTCATGGATGTCGTCACCAGTTTACCAGATTGAACAGAACAACTTCGGCTACCACAGACGGCTTATATATATATATATATATATATGATTATCACCGTAATTTGTGATTCGTTTCTGTTGCTGTCATGGACTAGGAAGTTGACTGTACGTCTCATTGACGTGAATATAAGCCTCAAATATTAATTCATTGCACGAGTTTTTAATAGAATGGAATACTGGAGATCATGTGAATGTTTATCTGGTATGTATGATAATTATATCTCACAGAATTAATTTCGTGATATAGCAGTTTTTACATGTTTGTTTATAGTACTATATTTCGTGTTCTTTCCGTCCTTTTTTGTTCTAAATAACATATGTAAATGATTTTTTCCCGTGATGATTAAAAGGTTAATTAAGATAAATTAAGGCCATGCCTTAAACTTTTAACTCCAGGTCAATACTAATAACGTGGTCTTATACTATATATATATATATATATAAACCACTTGTTTCGAATGCTAGCAGCTATTTATATTTTACAACTGAATAAGTGCGCTATCATTGTTCACCTTAAGTATGACAATTTGTTATTGTATGTTAGAAACAACTTTATTGATTATGTACAAGTAGAATTACCTAAGTAAAATGTATTGTCTCAGTTAACAACCATCTTGCTTTCATTACTGTCGTCATCCTATGAGAGTCTTTGTACTGTAGCGTGGCGTCGAGTCGCGGTCGACTATGATCATCACTACAAGAAGATCGCGTACCAGATATCAGAAGGCGATTGGAAGTTGTAGCGATATATATTTGTTGGCGATCCCGTGGTATCGAAAGAATACCGAGATCGTGCCAAAAGTGTACAAACGGAATCACTGAGCAAACGTAAGTGCGTGCAAGGTACAATCAAAGGAAGGAAGAATGTCTTTAGTACAGTTAAATAAACAAATACAGTAAAACAATCACTGGTACAATTGGTTATAATAATTGTTTCCATTAAACCAATCGCGTTCTCTTGATAAAAGCAGGTCACTAAAGTACTGTGTTGTTTAGTGTAGAAGCATAGTGGCTGGTGATGTCAGTCGGTCAATGTTCTTGGTAGCATATCAAACGGATTTACAATTAGACACAGTTAATACGCCGATTTACGACATTGTTGTCAGTATTTTCGATTAATTCTTACGATATTCTATGTGGTCAACTTTCGAGATGTAAGTTCGTGACTGATAAGCCTGCTACTGGAAATGCTTATTAATAACTTCCTAACCGCATCCTACAACCCCAGACTGCTTCTGTACGTTAAGTCGAACAAAAGATAAAATAAGTGTAAGGGCTTTATTCGAAGACTAGTTTGTGTACAGAAAATCGAGAGTATTTATAAAGTAGCATGTGTTCTTGGTCTTTTAGAAATTTCTAGAAAAATAATATAGTAATGGTATAATTAATTATCCAATCAAAAACGTAACATGTAATCGCCCATTTTCTACATATTTCTGAGAAGCAGAGAATAATGGGCGAATACATGTTACGTTTTTGATTGGATAATCAATTATACCATTACTATATTATTTTTCTAGAAATTTCTAAAAGACCAAGAACACATGCTACTTTATAAATACTCTCGATTTTCTGTACACAAACTAGTCTTCGAATTAAGCCCTTACACTCCACTTCTTTTCTCTTTTGTTCACTTATCGACTTAGAATACGCAGATATAGTGCTGTTTAGTGAAGACGCTGATAAAATGCAGTCTTTTGGTAGCACTGAGCAACAATGTCAGAATGTCCGGGATGCGCTTCTCCCCTCTAAATGTGAAGTTTTGCTTCAGAACTGGCCTGTATCAACACCTGAACTAAGGATAAGGAGTGAAGTAGTCGAACGCGTTGACAACACTTATCTTGGAAGTCTGACGAGCCTAAATGGGTTGGTGTCTGACGAAATCTCAGCACGGATTCAGAAAGTTCATTTGGCTTTTACCAACTTACGTCACCTATGGCGAAGGTGAGATATCCGTCTATCAATTAAGGGACGAGTATACTGCGCAGCAGCTCGTTCTGTTCTACTTTACGGCTGCGAAACATGGCCATTAAGAGTAGAAGATACTCGTAAGGTACTAGTGTTTGACCGCAGATGCCTTAGAAATATTGCTTGCATCTACTGGGATCACTGGGTAAGTAATAGTGAGGTTAGACTTAGGGTATTAGGGAATGATAGTAAATCAGTTGATGAGGTTGTAAATCGTCATCGACTGAGATGGTTGGGCCACGTGTTGCGTATGCCTGAACACGAATTACCACGACGCGCAATGCTGACTGGTGTTGGGGATGGTTGGAAGAAAGTTAGGGGAAGCCAAACCAAAACGTGGCATCAATGCTTGAAGTCACTAAATTCTAGTCTGAGCCATGTTGGTAGATGCAAACTACTTGGTTGGGGTCCGCGTGACTATCGTAACCAATGGTTGGAGACTGTGAGTGACATGTATTATTATTTATTTATTTTAACACATAGATATTGGTACAAGGAGGCACCAAATACATATGCGCCACACAAGTCACTTCATTGGTGTGAGGGCTGCGATACTTCCCGGGTGCCCAAACCAAAGCAGGTGGTTTTCTTAGGGGGTCACACCCGGAGCCTTCGACCTGAAAGTCTGATCCACAAGGCAGTGAAGCATCGTAAGGAGATGCAGTCCCATGGTAGCCAGTGACCAACGATTGGTTCCTACGCCATTCGTTCCCTCAGGATTCTGGAGCACCTGTGCACCATTGGTTTGGAATCAGGTTTTTCTAACTCCCCTAGGTGGACTCTTCATGTCCACCAACCCGGTTAAAGCGCCGGACGTTCGCTTTTCGTCCTCTCAATTTTGTAAACAACAGTAATGCCATGAGAAGGCAGTGAGTAGGACTTCCCTGGCAGAGGCTATATACGTGTGGCCATGTGAGAGCATTTCGAGAGGGAGAGCGGACTCTCCTCACTCTCGGCCGTACCAGGGCATTTGGGGGCTCAGAATCGATCACAATGGTGTCGGTGTATATACTCTTTGTCTTCCCTTAAACTAAGAGATTAAAATCACTTCGTATCTTTCTTTCTACAAACTAATTCTTTTTTCCTGTACTTTATCCTTTTATGCAATCTTCCTTTTATATATTACCACCACTGAACTAACTACTTCTATGAATCCAGTGTTCATGTTGTTGTACTAATGAGGTATGGCAACTTGGACGGATGCACATATGTGTCTGGTCCTACGTTGTAGCTGACTGACTGATTTCTGAGAAGCGTATACTCAATTCTGATTGGGCAAAACATTTTCTGGCGTTTTCTGTGTTTGACTTTGATGAAATTTATTTTTTAACTCCCCAACGGTGACCACTCTACTGGTTTCATTTTCTATCTATTAGTCTTTAATGAATACTTGTTTTCACAACCTTTCTATAACTTAGTGTATTTTATTAGAAAGTATTATATGTTATTTTGACAAATTATAAAATTCATATTTATTGTTATTTCTTAATGTTAAGAACAAGCAATATAATACTAGTAAACAATCTTGTCAAAATAATGCAATAAATTCTCTGCTTACATCCAAAACAAGTTTGTCATCATCATCGATAATTGGCTCGCATAAATTACATCAAAGTAGTCAAAATATTCCATTGATTGGTCTGCGCTCCAATTCCAACTTGACTATATCATCATTGTCAACAGTTCAAAGCCGTCATATTGTCGAGTCCAGTTCTACAAGTGCATTATCCAATCAAAATGTTTCAAAGCCAAGTCGATCTCGACCTAGACGTTTTGCAAATCTTTACAGCGTAAGTGTTAAACAGTTGGTTATTTTGTGTTATTATCAATGCTAACTTGTTATTATAATATGTGAATGTGAGAATTATGGTAGTATGATTATATGTAGTCATTTTTTCCCTTATATTTCCAAGTGAAATTTAGCATTTTCGAAATGATAATAAATTCTTCGTTATATAAAGGTAAATTTTCTCATTTTAAACAGTATATTACTCTCTTAATCAATATACTAAACAAAGAGCCAACTATTTCATGTACATGGTTGTATAACTATTCGTTTGTTAGTTTATATTTTATAAATTATCACTGTAATGTATGACTTTTTCACCGATTATGTATTGGTGTAATTTCAATGGACATAAGTTACTGCCATGACGTTTATTCACTCATGTTTGAAGAACTATTAAGGTTGTAGTAAACTTAGCATATTATAAGCAGTATATAAATAAGATCTAATCAGTATTCTATCTTATTCTATTACTCATATTTAACAATGATCAATTCAATATTGATTTCAGTGGCACAAGAATCGTCCAGAAAAGTTTTAATTCTTCCAAAGAAGGACTAGCAGCTTAAGGCCTACACATATGAACAAATTCAAATAGTATTAATAGGAGATGGAATACAATTAGCTGTCCCATGGCAACTAATAATTAATAAATAAACCTGAACTTCTTATTCTATCTTATTTATTACTTATTATCTTAATAAAAACAATTACATTCAACTGTTCTAAGTAGTTGTTTTATCTGAATATATTAAACAATTAACTGGAACAATAAAAATAACACAAACATCTATACCTTCATTTTTATTCTGTTTATTTGTCTTCATTTTATACTTGCTGTGACATATTTGATTCATATCATATATAAAATTTGTATATTTTCTTAAGAATTCACCGACCAGAGGCAATATATAATGAATGAAATTTCTCACACCTCAGATCCACTTGCGAATATACAGTCAGTCAGTCATTCAGTAACAACGTAGAACTTCGTACGTACGTACATCAGTTCGAGTTGCCACACCTTATTAGCACAGAGATGCAGTGGTCGATTCAAATCCCGTAGTGGTAGAGGTAATAAGAGTATAAGCAGTAATCGGGAAGATTAGGGTTTGGAGATGTTATTTAAAGAGTATAATCCAGTGAAATAAATTTGGAAAGAGGAAAAAAGGGACATGAAGAATTCAGAAGATTAGAATTTTGGAGAACACAGAGAGTGGATGCACCTGCGCCATTGCAAACGATTTTGAGCCATGTCATTCAGGGTCTCTAACCATCGGTTGCTATCATCTTGCGGATCCCAGCCAGGTAGTCTACACCTACCAACATGACTCAGTCCACTTGTCAGTGACTTCATGGACTTGTGCCATGTTTTGGTTTGGCCGCCCCTAGCTTTCTTCCAACCTACTCCTATACCACTGAACATAGCACGTCGAGGTAGTCGGTCGTTGGGCATACGTAACACGTGTCCCAGCCATCTCAACTGATGAAGTTTCACTACTTCATCAATTGATTTGCCATCCTTATCTAGTACCCGTTTCCTAACAACTGTGTTACTTACTCGATGGTCCCATGATATACGAGCAATGTTTCGAAGACACCTATGATCGAATACTAGTAACCTACGGATATCCTCTACTCTTACCGGCCATGTTTCACTGCCATAAAGTAGAACGGAATGAACTGCTGCGCAGTAAACACGTCCTTTGGTTGATAGACGGATATCTCGCCTACGCCATAAATGACGCAAGTTGGCAAAAGCTAGTCGAGCCTTCTGTATCCGTGCTGAGATTTCGTCACACACCAGACCACAAGGGCTGATGAGACTTCCAAGATAAGTGAAGCGGTCGACACACTCAACTACTTCACTCCCTATCACTAGTTCGGGTGTCGATGTAACCCAATCCTGAAGCAACATTTTGCATTTCGAGGGAGAGAATCGCATCCCGAACATGCTTGCATTGTTGCTTAGAGTGGTCATAAGACTCTGCATTTTGTCAGCGTCTTCACCAAATAAAACTATGTCATCAGCATATTCTAAGTCAACAAGTGAATCTCCCGGTAGAAGTTCAACCCCTGGTAATTTAGATGAGGAGTGTTATCTCTAAAAGTACGTCGACCACAAAGTTGAACAAGAATGGAGAGAGTGGACAGCCCTGACGAACACCACTTGAGGTAATCAATTCTGATGACAGTTCGCCATAAGCTCTCACTCGGCCAGTTGTGTTCGAGTAGAGAGCCTTTATAAGGTTAATGTTCTTCCTTGGTACTCCTTTCAGTGACAAACACTGCCACAGAACCTCACGATCAACAGAGTCGAATGCCGCCTTAAGGTCGAGAAATAATACTATTGCGGGACGTCTGAATGTGTGTCTATGTTCTAGGACCTGACGTAGTGTGAATATCTGGTCTATACCTCCACATCCAGGTCGTAAACCAGCCTGGTTTTCTCTAGTCTGCTCTTCACGAACTTTGGTAAGGCGTCGAAGTATTATTGAAGCCAATATTTCAGACACTGATAGTCAAATTGATTTTTTTCCTTTCTTAGAGTGGCACACTTAGTGATTGAGACCAATCAGATGGGATTACGTCCAGTTCTCAGATTCTACCTAAGACCCCAGTCAATCTCACTACTAATACTGGATGGCTCTCCTTAGAAATCTCAGGGGAAAACCTGTCAGGGCCTGTTGCTCTCCCTCACTTCAGATTTCCTGTAGCTTTTTTCCTCTGTCTTTTCCGTCTTTTGCTTTCGCTACCCACCACTATACGGGACCATTGCGTAGGCTTCTTATCAACCTGCACCCATGCTGATTCCACTCTTCGTCATGTTCAGAGCCAGATGGGATGAGTTTTCGGGCATCTATCAGTGCGGTCGATGCTACTGAGATCCAGTATTTCTCCCTGACCTTATGGCTTACCGTACCAACAGATACCATTGCTGTTTTCACAGCTTTTCGGATATCATTCCAAGCTGCCTCGGGGTGGGCATCACTTACATGGCTGCCTAACTGTTTTTCTAGTTGTTCCTGAAATATACTCTTAGCTTGACTATCATTAAGTAGGCCCTTAGAAGTTTCCTTGCAGCGTTTTTCCTACGTCCAGTAAGACGCAGACAAATACGCGCTCATACTAGAGCATAATCTGAATTTCCTAGAAAAAGCTTAGACCAGATTGCCAGGCGAAAACTTTGGAATTACTACATATTCATTCGGTGAGATTTTACAAATACCTTCTTCCTCTTTAATGTCTTAAATTATTTACGTCTGAAGGGAGGTCATTAACAGACCTATCAGTCTCGCGCTAAGCGCTTAACCAACTAGACCACTGAGCCGGTATCCTGTGGTGTTAATGTCTAACTTCAATCAATCCACGAAGTTGCGCTACCGTATACCATTGTCTTCATTGAGCTGATATCTCACAACAGACCTGGTTGAACTCCACTGGTAACGGCTTCTCACCAGAACTCTCTTATTTATTTGAACAGTTAGTTATTCAGTATGTACAGATCGTCTTTTTAAATAAGAATATTGCTAAATTGTAGTTTTTCAACTGCATTGTTTATTTATCATTTAACGGCTGAGCAATAGATGGATTGGATTTAATAGTACCAATGGTTATAATTTATAGGATTTCTCAGACATACCAAACATATATACATTCAGAAAAAATCATACAGTATTTGACAAGTTCAATTCACTGCAAATCACTCTACATATCATACCTATATATTGATAAATAGATACATTTAGATCTATAAAACTTGTGCTACATGTAAGTGATTTTCATCAGTAACCACCTACTTGAATCAAAAGCTAAATGATGGTCTTTAATTTTCATTCTCCGTGGCTATATACATGACTTTGTCTCAATGTGTTACACAGACATTTGACCTTGTAAAATTTAACTGTAAACTAATCTTTTTTTCCAATTTAGAAAATAAATATTTACAAAAAAGGTTTTTTTGTTTAGGCTTATTCAGAACAAACTGTTCATATCTTACTACCTCTTGGTAAACATTTATTTCAGATTCATGAAATAGTGGGTCATCTTAAACCTTTTTTGGAAAAAAATTATTTTTCATAACATGTTAGTATTATCTTATTTTTAGATTCTGTAACTATATATATATAATCTCTCATTTTGTTTTGACTCAACCTTGAAGTGTTTGTTCACAAAATACGCCTAAATAAATTATCATATTCTTCTGTATTTGTAACTTTAAGAAATACATTAGATTTAATGAAATTCAAAACAAAATATAAGTCTAAACACAATATACATACTTTTAGACAATAACCAGAACTAGTTTATATAAAATGAGAAATATAAATGTTTATCTAAAGTTTACGTAAGTAATTTCTCAATATAGGACTTTTTTTCAAATATCTGTGTATTTTTGTAAGCAATGATGGATAGTGGCTAGCAGTAGAATTCAGGACGCGCGTTTCGTCCTGTTTGGGACTTGTCATCCGGATGTACCTGCATCTCCGAGTTGATGTTCACTCTGGGACTCGAACTCATTATCATTCGCTTCAAACGTCATCGCGTTATCCACTTAGCTACTGAGTTCTGATAGCCACAGACTGATCAATTGCAGTCTTAAACCTCAATGCGAAGATACAAGCCAAATAATACCAAGTGTATCTGTGTATTGCTTTAAAAATAATTCATTAACTTAACTGAAAATTATTCTTATCATTGCACGTTAAATAACTGAAATAAGTCATCAATTGAACTAACATTTAACTTTTTATTATTGTTTTTATATTGTGAAACTCTTTTTATTGATTTATAAAACTGAAAAACAAAACGATGATTTGTTCATGCTAAATTTCACTGTTTGTCTTTTTTGTTTTACCTGTAAAACTATGTATATCATGTGAAGGGGGGGTGGGGTGGGAATAGTCAACATGATGGATAAGATTGTATTTGATCAATGAAAATTAAAAAAAAGAAAGAATTCTTTTGTGAAGACATTGTGTTTTTTATTCATATGAAATTACC